TATGTTGTCTAATTCGGGGAAGGCGGGAGATAAGTTACAGCACCAGGGTGTTGTGCGTTCTGTGTATATTCTCTCAGGTATTGCTTTAATGGGGGTTTTTTTGGGGGGGAAGCTGGTTTATAAGCACCTTGGTTCCGAAATGTTGCATGTCGTTATTTGAATAAAACAGCTCTAACGGGAATTGCCAGTTTGCCATGTTTAGTGGCGTGGAGACTTTCTCCCGGGTCAGACTGGTGCTCGGAGTTCGTGCTCTCCTCTTCAGGCCTGATGCCGATGTAACACTGGTTCTGTTTTAAATATAAACTAGAAATAAGGCCCGTTGTGGAAATAAATACAACGAGATCTAGAAAGAGGCTCTGGGAGAGTGCTCTGGCTTTGGGCAAACAGTGTCAGTCTGCTTTTAAAACATGAACCTGGGACCTGCACACCACCAGAATACAGCAGATTCCATATGCAACTGACATTCCAACTGCCTTGCGGGGGGGGGAGTTTGAGGTGTGGAATGGAGTGAAGTCCAATCAGCTTCCATATGCAAAAGACCAGGTTGTCGCAGCAGTTGTGGTGTGGGCGGGACCCGGGCTTTGCCTTCTGATTGGTGGCGATATATGCTGAGGAGCAGTGCCATCAGCCATACACTAAGGGAGTGCATTTTAGAATTAGAACTTTGGCACCCACTATTCAATTATATATAAAGGAGAGATAAAAGACTGAGAACCAGGCATGGGAGAACATTGATAGTTTCCTCCAGCTTTTACCTACTTAAAAGGCACGTCGGCACCAATGTTAACCATAGCCGAAGGTCTGCAACTTCCCTTTTAATCAGGATTTGTCAACCAAATCCTGGTCAAGTGAGGGCTTGAGGTAGCCTTAATCACTGCTAATGCTGGTGGTCGTCGTCTCTTATGGTGGGAGGGAAGAATGGATTCTCAGGAACAGCGTAGCTGTGAGAAGTCCCCCATAATTTTAACTACAGGAATTCCCCAAATGACTTTCTCTTCACATATCTGAAGAAGTGCACTGTGACTCACTGAAGCTTATATTGAAATAAATGTTGTTAGTCTTGATGATCCCACTAGACTTTAAAAAAAAATTGCTACAACAGTCTAATATGGCTACTCTGCATCATAGTTTATGAACTCCATTGAAGTGGCCATTGTTTTGTCTGCACTGGTACTCAGCAGGATCGTCTGACTTCTTTAGGTCATGTGTAGAGATGTAGAAAGTCTGGAAATGTTGAAGCCATGGTGGTGGTGGGGGGGAGATTTTTCCCATGGGAATGTGTGGAAAATTTGGAAAAAATTAAAATACACGTAATACCTGCAAACAAAAGTCCGCATGGTCGAAGCAATGGTATTCCCAGTAGTCATGTATGGCTGCGAGAGTTGGACTATAAGGAAGGCCGAGCGATGAAGAATAGATTCTTTTGAACTATGGTGCTGGAGAAGACTCTTGAGAGTCCCTTGGACTGCAAGAAGATCAAATCAGTCAGTCCTCAAAGAAATCAACCCTGACTGTTGCCTGGAAGGCCAGATAATGAAACTGAAGCTCAAATACTTTGGCCACCCAATGAGAAGGGAGCACTCACTGGAGAAGACCCTGATGCTGGGAAAGATTGAAGGTCAAAGAAGACGGGGACGGCAAAGGATGAGATGGTTAGACAGTGTCATCGATGCAACTAACATGAAACTGAGCCAACTTCAGAGGACGGCGGAAGACAGGAGGGCCTGGCATGAGAGAGCTGTAGGGCTTGAGTAGTAACAGTTAAGGAGTATTAGGTAGCTGTGTTAACTTTGTGACAAGACAAGGGGTTTTAAAATACATAACAGTGTTGACAGTTGAAAGGCCAAAAGAGAGTGGTATTTGTAAGATTGGTTCTGTCCCAGAGCGGTGGGTCGTCACATTGTCAAATAATGGAAGGAATTACTGAAATCCACAGTTTTATCAAGCAGAAGTGGCAGTGCTCACTGTTAAAGTAGCAGCACAGTTTTAAAAGGGGTGCTTATTCATTTAAGCATTTATATCCCACTTCCCCCCAGAAAGGACTCAGAATAGCTTACAGCATGGAAATACTTAAATAAACTAGAGCACAACAAACAAAACAAAACAAGCAGAACAAGTGTATCTCAGGCTGGTCCTGGAATCATTGGCTGGCTTGACTAAAGACAGGCGGCAGTCGAAGGCAGGCCCTTGTGCCTTGGACTATATCCAAGTGGGGTTGCCAATCTCCAGGTGGCACCTGGAGAACCCCCACTGTTGCAATTGCTCTCCAGACAACCAAGATCAGTTCCCCTAGAGAAAATGACTGCTTTGGAGGGTGGATTCTATGGCATTATACGCTGCTGAGGTCCCTCCCCTCCCTGACCCCTGCCTTCCCCAGGCTCCACCCCCCAAAATCTCCAGATATTTCCCACCCAGAGCTGGCAACCCTACGTCCAAGCTTTATAGGATACCTGAGACAGGAAGGGGAACAGCAGTCCTCATCCTAAAATCACTCACAGTGCAATCTGAACAGAGTTCTATCATTCTAACCCGGTCAAACGTGAATGGTATAACTCTGTTTAGGATTGCACTGTGAGTACGCTTTGTGTTCGGGGGGGGGGGGTTGAACCCAGGTCCAGCTCTGTAGCTACTGTGCTACCCTGGGATGGCTTTAATGCCCTATCCCTTTCCATGGCTCAACTGTAATTCTTAATCCAGAGCAAGCCTATGATCTCAGGAATCCGCCTGTCCTTTGAACTCAGAAAAGTGTTCTGCATCTGCAGTGGTCCTGGCGCAAGTGGAAATGCTAAAATGACACCTCGTTCTCTGTGCAAAGCGAAGGCATTTGCACCCCTGCTGTCTTTTCCCCGTGCACAAGACATGGCACATGGTATTTCTTCTGCTACAGTTTCCAAAGCAAATTAAATAAAAATCATGCAGAGCCATCTGTCGGACATTCCATTGCTCCATATGCCCATTGTTGTTTTGCTAAAAATTGTATTAAAGCGCCCTGTTGGCTGCAGCCGTTGTGCTGCTGCTGGCACAAGCAGAACCGCGCCAAGCACGTTTTCCTTTCTGTTCACATATTGCTGGATCCAACCCAGAATTTTTTGTAATGGGGGGGGAGGTATAGATGAAAGCACATGAGATAGTAGGAAATGTAAAATGAAGAATGGAAGTTCTCGTTGCTTTATCTAGGGCGGTAAGAATTATTTCACAAACTTCAGTGGAAATTACTTTATCTTAGTGGCTTTCAGACTTCGTAACATTCGGAGGAACCTTTTCCACACCCCTTTGTCCGGTGAGGGAATCTTGCACGTTATACTGAATTTAGGACTGTTTTTTTGGGGGGGTCACTTGTCTTTCAGGAAAACCTGTCTTCCCATAGTGACCCCCCTCCTAGACTTTGAGGAAGCTTCAGGATTCCCTGAAATATAGTTAGAAAATAACTACCTTATCCTTTGGAATTGAATTAAGGAATTTAAAGAAGGTTGAGCTTGCAAAATCTAATAATACACAGTATAACGAGTATTAGAAGGTTGAGCTTGCAAAATCTAATAATCCACAATATAACGACCAGTATTTCACTGTTGCTACACACCCATGGCCAAAACTGGAGTGGTGCTGTGGCTTGCATCCAGCTTGGTTTGGTCTGCTGCATATTTTTGCAAAATGCCAGCTTTTTCTTATTGATGTTTTTGCCTGCTTACCTGGACTGCTTGGAAAGTGGTTGTTTATGTGCATGGACTTACGTTGTTTGGGGTTTTTGTTTTTCCTTGTTCGTAGGTCATTTCATGGGCAACAACACAGTGACTGATGTTTTGAGGAGAGAAGGGTACGAGGTAGAACACACCCCTGCTGGACAAGCTGTGAACAGGTAATCTATGCATTTTCAGTCTCTCTGGTGCAGAAGAGAACATATAAGCATTTCACCCGAGATGTAACTATGAACCCTTCATTTGTATCTGGAATATATTTCGGCAGATTTGCATACCTGCTTATTTTACTGAATGTATTCTTCTTCCAGGAGCTGGTGGAATTAGTTGATTACTGTGAACAGCAGCTGAATGTGTGAACTAGGCTCATTGAAAACTCCGCATTTTACCCAACTTGGAATTCTGTTTGTGGCTGTGGTGGGGTGGAGAGAGGGAATCCCTAGGACTCACGATGACGTCATCGTGCCTGGCAGAAGTAGTGCAGGGAGCCTACCAATGCTCCCTCTAAGGTGTGGAGTCTTGTGAGCAAAAATTCTACTTTGTGAGCTGCTGGCATTGAAGATGTGAGCGAGTGATTTGGCTACGGCATACATTCGTTTGCTCTGGAGCCATCCTTCCGGAGCTAAGACAAAAATCTGTGATCCGGAGGCCAAAAAACTGTGAGTTAGCTCACACTCTAACTCAGCCTAGAGGGAACACTGGCACCTACTCTGCAGGGAAGCCCGTGGCGCATGTGTGGCCATGTACTGGGATGGGGATTCCTCCCAGGAGCAAAGGCTTGCAGTGAGGATGGGGCATGGCTGGGACAGAGTCAGTTCGTTGGGACAAGTAGATGCCCGTTGGACCTGAAAGGGGCTATAAGGCACAGTCTGCAGCTGGCAGAGCAGGAGAAGAATGCCCGTGACCCCCACACAAGGCATCCAAAGCCCAGAGGGCTATTTTGTTAGTTCTCTCTCTCTCTCTCCCCCCTTCTTAGTGTGGTGTTAGGTCTGTATTGGCGCTAGCCTCGTAACCAAGGTTCGCCAGCCTCCACACAGCTCCTGGCTTCTGCATAGGTTACAATCCTGCTCAACATTAATCATGTTTCGCACCAGCGCAGGTACGATGCTTTATGGTTTAAGTAGAGACCATGGGGGAAAGGGGGAGCAGGCAGTCTGCTGGGAAGGAATGGAATGTGCAGACCTGTGCCAGTCCCGGTTGTCTAACCATGGTGACACAACACTGAAAATGTTACGTTAGCATTGAACCAGTAAATCCCTAGCAGACTCTCGATCTTTGAACCACAATCAGGAAACTGGAAATTACAGGCCGATTGGACCGCTGTGGTTTGGCTGCAAGTGGGGCTTCCCTCCAGCGATGGAGGAGAGAAGCACACAATTGTGCGACCTGCTTCTGATCTCTTGATTGCACTTGAGAGGCAATTGTTACAGCAGTGTCCCAAGTGGAACGGAGCTCTGCCAGCTCAGATCAGGAGAAGCAGTTAGGTATTGGTCCTCCACGTTCCCACACGCAAAACGTAAGGGGATACTCCTCTACCATCTGTTGTTTCTTTCTGTAATATTCAAGGATGGAACGCACCTTGCTCTTTCTCCTCCTGGGATCCCAAACATTCTTCTGGAGTGAGTCACTGATCATTTACCCCTGTCTTAAATGGTCAGTGAATTGTAAGGTTGCATACTTGCACTTAAGCCTGGCCTAGGGCTCTTCCCCTGCTTCATTTTCTTTTAAAGGGGGGGGGGATGCCCCATGGATTACTCCTAAATCCACCTGTGATGTCCTGTGAGAGGCCGTTTCATTCCATCCCATGTATTTTTGCCTGCGTGTGTGTCTTTGATCAGCCAGTCTGACATTTGCTTTACATTCTCCTTCCTGAGTTCGGGTTCAGTGGGTAAGCTTGGCTGAGAATTAAAGGCATGAGGGCTCTTTTGCTTTACGTTTCCTCCCCTCCTGTAAAAATCAGCTTAGCATTAAGGGAAGAGGAAAATGTTCTGTTCTCTGATGATCTGCTTCTGCTGCTTCTGCTGCCTTGTGGCATACATTTCAGAAGGGAATGGATATGACTTTCCATAGCTTCATTTGGTTGCTTCCACATGGAGGTTTTGCTCCTATTTGGCACCCAAACTGGAACAGGAGGGGGTTTTTTGGGGGGGAGAATCCACGTGAAGTTGTCCCTTAACTGTCCACAGTCACATCTCTTTCCACCCCCCATTTTGCTCTGATCTTTTGGAAATATTGCAGTCAAGGTGCTTCTGCATGCTGTGTGAATAGGAAAGGCAAGTTTTTTTAGGGTCCTCACACACATGGGTGCCATTTTCCCTGCCTCCACCTCCCAGGGCTACCACTTTCCCCCTTGCACCGCTGAAGGGCTTTTCTGTGACTCTCCTGCCCCAAGTAGTAGCTGCTATTCTCACTATAGTATTGTAAAGCTGTAGTGCCATGGATCAAGTTCACCTGAATTCACAGTTTTCATTTTTAAAGAAAGCCTTCTGGAATGTGGCAACAGCTTGGTACAATATTTACGCTATAACAACAGCAATTACTGATTTTAAAAAACTTTTAAAAGCCCTCTTTTGGCATGGAGGGGGGAAGTGCGCGTGGAACTCTATAGTCCTCCACATCCAGCCAGCTGGGTGAACTTGGGTCTGTCACAAGTTCTCTCAGAGCTGTTCTCTCAAGAGCAGTTCTCTCAGAGCTCTCAGCCCCACCTACCTCACAGGGTGTCTGTTGTGGGGAGAGGAAGGGAAAGCGATAGTAAGCCACGCCGAGACTCCTTCGGGTAGTGAAGGGCGGGGTATAAAACTATAAAGTACTGAGGCTGATGCATGGAGAAGTGATTTCAGCTCATACTTTATTATGTACAGGATAGCTTGAGATGCTTAGTCTGGCCCAAGGCCGGCTTATATCCACATAGCAAACCACACCCCAAACACACACCCACAACCGTGATAGGCTATTTACAGTGTCCCCCAGTCCCATAGGTCCCTCCTTGGATCCTAGCCGTCTGATAGGTGCGCGCTAGGGTCCGTTTAGGCTATTGTCTTTGGAAGCGAAGCTTGGGCCCTTCGCATGGCCATGTGTGTGGCCCGACCATGTGCGCGGTCTCGCTGGGTACACAACAAAAACCAACTATTTTTCTTCTTCAGTTCTACTGTATGTGCATTTGCAAGAAGGATGACAGGGAAATGGAGAACCCCAGCTGAGCAGATGCAGCCGTTTCGCAAACCATGTCCAGAGAGAGAGAGAGAGAGAGAGAGAGAGATATGTGTATCCAAACATCCACAGACCTTGCAGAGCAGGATTTTCTCACTTTATCCTAGCATTGTTCAGTGGAACACCAAGAGTGTGGGGGTGGGGGTGGCTTTGCACAATGCCATGACATCACTTCAAGGTTTATACCTGGCAGTGACATCACAGCATCGCATGACACTCTAGGATTCCCCCAACTCTTTATCGGTGGAAGTCGCCACTCCCCATCAAAGTCATAAGTGCCAGTTTGGTGTAGAGGTTAAGTGTGCGGACTCTAATCTGGGAGAACCGGGTTTGATTCCCCACTCCTCCACTTGCACCTGCTGATGTGACCTTGGGTCAGTCACAAGCTCTGTCATCTTCGTCTTCTTCTTCTTCTTCGTCTTCTTCTATCTTTGGGACGGCGTTAACCGGCGACATGCCGTAGAATCCAGATCTCACCATGCTTGCTGCTGACCGCCATTCCAAGAACTTGGAAAGTTTTAAAAGCTAAATCTCCCTCTTAGCCCACACAGTGCATACGTCTAGTTGAGATAAGGATCTGGCAGTATAAAAAGAAATACTTTTTTTCTTCCTAAATTAAAATCGGAGACATGCTTTGCTGTTAACACCCCAAGTAGTTTTGTTTTAGAGGGTAGACAATAGGAAGAGATCTCTGTGCTCATTTGGAGCGTGGCCCCTCTGAGGGGGAGGTGATTCTGCTGTACGTCTGCATTGGATCATTCAATCACTTTCCATCATGGTGGTGTGCCCAGGCTGGAGTTATTATTGGCAACAAATATAGAACTCAGTAGCCTTAATGGAAAGTTTCCTTCTGGAGAGACCGTGCTGGCCTTTAAAGGTTAAAAGACTGCAACAGAGATGCTGCGGCTACAGTTTGTCTGGCTGATGGCTACATCATCTGCCTCTCTGCCTAGTGCAATGGGACCCTATTCTGCCTCACGGCAAGCAGTGGGAAGCCACCTCCCCACTGCCTGGCATAGCCTTACAGTTTTTCAAGCGAAGTGAGCATCTCCATGTTGTAATTTGTCCACCTTTCTTGAATGGGAATCCCCTGAGAAAAAAGTTTCTAGTCCTCACGGTCACAAAAAAAGAGATCAAAAACGTGTTATTCTAAAAGCTTTGAATGCTAAGGAGATCTGAGAATATTATCAGTTGATCAGGGAATAGGATTTTCCTATTCATTATGGTGACCTACCGTTTCTAATTCTCTCTTCTCCTTAAGTAAAGGCAAAGGTTCCCTTGCTCGAAAGCCGGTCGAATCCGACTCTAGGGTTGCGGTGCTCAACTCCGTTTCAAAGCCAAAAAGCCAGCGCTGTCCGAAGACATTTCTGTGGTCATGTGGCCGGCATGACTAAACACCAAGGCGCACGGAACGCTGTTACCTTCCCACTGAAGTGGTACCTATTTATCTACTTGCAATTTCTTGCTTTCGAACTGCTAGGCTGGCAGGAGCTGGAACTAGAGATGGGAGCTCACTCCGTCATGCGGCACACTCGGGTCTCGAACGGCTGAACTACCGACCTTCCACAGCCTGCAGTTCAACATCTTAACCAGTACCTGCTACAAAAAAAAAAGCAACAACAAAGCCCAGGGACATTTGAAAAAATTGTGCTGTTGAATTGATATAAAGCAGAAACTTTGAGCAGAGGAGTAAAAATATGCCCTGCTGGCATAATGCATTCTAGCTGCAAACATTGAGTTATCTCTCCCCTCCCCATAATGGTGACCCCTACAAGACTGTAAAATTTGCACTCTGACTCTTCAGAATGTTCACTCTACATAACCCATTCATGGAAAGTGAAAATGATTTATGCCTTTTGCTTTTGCTGCTTCACAATATTTAGCTCAGATTGTCTTTATTATACAGTACCAAGCACCCTCTCTGTATTTTTATAGCTAGCAATGAGCTATTTAAATTAAGCTTTAAAAGAAAAGCCATTCTAAGGCTTTGGATCCGGCGTTAAATTTCCACTAAAGGGAAGAGGGGGACGATTTTTCACTGATTTCCCCTTTCACCCTGCAGACCTCTGACTGCCTTCTGCCCATGCAGAAGCCAGTTTGGTGTAGTGGTTAAGTGTGCGGACTCTAATCTGGGAGAACCGGGTTTGATTCCCCACTCCTCCACTTGCACCTGCTGATGTGACCTTGGGTCAGTCACAAGCTCTGGCACAGCTGTCCTTGAAAAAGAGCAGTTTGTGTCAGAGTTCTCTCAGCCCCACCCACCTCACAGGGTGTCTGTTGTGGGGAGGGGAAGGGAAAGGACTTTGTAAGCCGCTCTGAGACTCCAAGTGAAGGGCGGGGTATAAATCCAATCTCTTCTTCTTCTTCTTCTTCTTCTGGTGCCCCCCAGGAGCAGCATTTTGGGGGTCGTTGTGGGTGGCAGCCAGAAGGGGGAAGCATGGAAGACTAAAAGAAATGTTTCCCATCAGTGGAGATTTACTGTAAGATGCAAGCCATTGTATAGGCAGATCATACTGTTGCAGTTTTAAAAACTTGTAGTGTTTCTGGTGAGGTGAGAAGTTTGTTTTATAGTCCAAATGAATACACATAGTCTACCACTTCTGTTCATTTATGGATCTGGGAAACGCCCGCCCGCCTGCCTGCCTGCCTTCTCACTCATCCTTTTCGATGGTGTTTTTGTTTTCCCCCTCTCCCAGCGGGAAGAATCAAAAGGCTCTGTCTGCCCTCTCTTCATCTTCCCCAGAATATGCTTCCTACATCATCTCCCAGGAGCTCCACCCTTCCCGACAGCATCCGCAGAAGGAGGAGGAGGAGGAAGAGCTGCTGCCTCACTTGCTGCTGCCTGAAAGTATCGACTTGCTGGAGAAAGTGGACAGGAAATACAAGAAGAAAAAGAAGAAGCAGCAGCAGAAAAAGCAGCGCTTGCGCCAGTTCAATGACCTCTGGGTACGCATCGAGGAAAGGTAATGAGATGGTGGAGGCAGAATGTAACGCACTTGTGCATTGAGGCTAGGTACGCTGCTGGTGGAGGTGGACTGTAGTGAGCCTGTGCATTGAGGCTAGTCAAGCTGCTGTCCCATTCTCCCCCCCACATCACATGACAGGGCTCGGATGACATCAGTATAGTTGTATGACATGCACAATTCATCAGGGGATGCTTCTTACTGTAGCCAACACTGCAATATTGCTGCGTCTGTGACGATTACTCAGAGCTTATGTAATGGAGCGGTTGTATATGACCCATGGGTTTGGGGGAGCAGGCTTTGGGTCCCTGATTCAAATCGCAGCTTAGTCCTGAATTTTTAAGCAATTCACTGTCAATCTCTCTCTCCCCCACCCCCCAATCTGCAATATGGGAGATCATAACATGAACTATTAGGGCAAGATGGGAAGTTTAAAAAAAACAACCCTATTATTTATTAATTATTAAGTTCACCGAAAAAGAGTGATCCAAAAGTAAAATAAATATAATATTATTGACTGGTAGGTCAATGTTCTGGAGTGGGTGTGCAGCCCCCAGTCAGCGGTGTCTGTAGTTTAGTAAAACTGTGCTGTATCTTTAAGACTCGATGCTCCTGGGAATTGTAGTTTGAAGTTAGAGGTCCCAGACGCTTACCTCTGACTGGCTCATTAAGGGCAATTTCCTGACTTTCTGGTTCTTTTCCGGGGGTTTTTTTGTTCATCAACCCTTACGCAGGCCAGCAAACATCCCCATTTGAGAGCACTTATCTCCGGCAGCAATCTGGTTGAGGGAGGGGGGCCGATGCAGGCTTCACCTCCTTGGGCTTCAGCTGATGGGCTGCAGGGCCAGCTTGGGTAGCAGCAGTAGAGGGTGGGCTCCCAGAGAGGCACTGCCGCCCCTTTGGCTCCCTTGGTCGCCTGGCCACCTTCCCTCCCCAGGAGTGCCCAAACCTGGTGGCTGAAGCTCTACTCTTTGTTGCTTGCAGTCCTGGAAATGGCTGGGACAGGTCTTGTAGCGGGGTACATGGTTATTGGCACGGCGGCTTCCCTCAGTGTCTTTTCCCGGCGGTCCTAGCAGCAGCAGGGACAGTTATTGCCTTAGCAGCTTCCCTCGCGGCTCCAGCAGCTTTTCACGTGCTTCCTGTAAGTTCATTCTCTGTGCATGTGCAGAGCAAGCAGTTTTACTTTTGGGGGGATTTAAGTATCCCCGTATTCTTTTTTAAACATTTTAGATTTTCTGCAAACCTGGTGAGTGCCCCAAGTTTGCTGAAAGACCTATTTACCCTCCAAGTGTCCCAGATCGTGGGAAATAAGTATCCACACACAGGGGGACCCTTGGCTATTAGATATATAGATAGATTACAAAATATGGAAGTATGTCTGTTAAGTGGATTTTACAGAGTGAGCAATAAACATTTCATTGTGATGGGGCACAAAATAAGACAGCAGCTTATTTTTGTAAATTTCCCCCCTGTGATTTCAGCAGAAACTATAATGGGATGCTCTTGCTATTAGTAGTAGCAGTGCACCCTCTTTTAATGCTTTGTCATATCAGAGTTGACATGCAGTAAACACCAATTAATGTCAAGCCCTTATACTTATTTGTGAAGGTCCAGGTGTTTTTGTTTATTTATTAAAATATTTATATCCCACCTTTCCTTGTGGCTCAAGGTGGCTTACAAACCATGAACTAAGAACCAACAGAATAAACTAAAACCCCAAAGAACTCCCTTCTCTCCCAATAAATATACCTGCAGTCAATACTACAGGTAGGGATCTGTGTCAAACCTGCTCTGCTTTACATCTGTTCCTTGAATAGCTCTGAGCAATGAACAATAAACGGGCTAGCGGCTGACTTCTGGCAGCTACACCGTGAGTTTCGCTATGTTGCTTGGGTCTGGCTCCTCTATAAATGCGTCTGCCGTCAGGTTTGTTCTTTGGTTTGACTTGCCAGCTGGATTCTTTCCACTAGCATGGGAGTCTCCTGTGGGGGCTTTTAGCTATGGAGAGGTAAAGGGGCTAAAAAGGGATTGCCTACAAATTTCCCAGAGTGGGTTTTGTTGGGGCGGGAGGGGGGAGAGATTAATGCACTTGGCCAACGCACAGCTGAAAGAGAGCATGGCAGCCGGATGGTATTAGAATAATGGATATTAATATGCTTTTTATTATGTTGGTTGGCGTGTGTGCTTCCTTCACCTGGAATGTGTAACAATGGTTTCTAGCAAGCGGCGTAGAGCTAAGGGAGAGCTTTGAAAGGATGTGAGCTTCCCACTTCAGCTCTGCTTTCTGTGCAAGGAGACTTCTGTGCGTGTGAGAGAGGCTGTTCCCTTACCCTTTTTGTTGCACACGTGTCGGTGGCGTCTGGTTCTAATTTTGCTGGCCTCGCCTTGCTTTTTTGCTCTCTCCATTTTCCATATCTCGTTTCACTAAATCCGTTTAGTCTTGGTAGCCTGTATCTGTAATATGGAGGCTTCACAATGTGGAGAGAAGAAGAGAAGGGAAGGGGTTGAGGCAGGTGGGATGAAGAGCTTGTGATGTCCATGTTGTGCTGGTAAATATGTTTAGTCTAGATATCCTCCTGCTTCGTGTGGAAGAGCTCAGTGGTAAAAAAAAATGAATGGGGATAGACTGCTGGCATGTGAGTCGTGCCTTGTGCGGTACCGGTATTCCTCCCAATCACTGATGCATTCCCTTAATGCTAAAATTGGTGGACAAAATTGAAAATTATATTAATGGTGAAAACAATACATACATGTATAGAACATACAACAATGTTACAATGAATTATTCAATAAAGTATTCCAAATATTCAATGGTATTCTGTATTCAAATTATTCAATAAAGTATTCAGTATTCAACGAAGATTCCAGATTATGAGCTTCGTTTCGGGTATCATCTTCAAGAATATACTGCTATTTTACTTTTTTTTTTTTTCCTGGTTTGGATTTTTATTTTATAACAACAACCAATAAACAAACACTAACCAAGACAAAAACAAATCTATAAAACAGGAGAATCTAACTATTAAGTATCTCTAAAGTTTTTTCTAAACACAAATAAGTTTCTACACTTTATAATGTTATTTTAAAGTTTTGCACATATTACTATCAGCATCCTTATTATGTTCTTTGTATTTTCTGCTTCGGTTGTATACAAAGTTCATTTAATATATTCTTTAATCAATCTGTAAAATCTTGACCACGTATTTTCAAAATTTTCTTCTTTTTGTCCTTTCAAAAGTATAGTCAATGTGTCCATCTCAGCCATTTCCAATAGCTTATTTATTATTTCTTCTTTTACATTTTTCATAAACATCAGTAACAGTGAGGTTCCTTCAACCAATTTTCAAGATTCCATTCAGAACGTTTCAAAATAGTACAAAGTTTCAGTATTTCTAATAACAGGCACCCAGTCACAGTTTACAAGAAAACCACTCTATAACGTTGCTAAGCTGGCTATAGAGTGGTTTTCTTGTAAACTGTGACTGGGTGTCAGTTATTAGAAATACTGAAACTTTATACTATTTTGAAATGTTCTGAATGGAATCTTGAAAACCGAAAAACAGTGAAACCTCACTGTTACTGATGTTTATGAAAAATGTAAACTAGCAGTATATTCTTGAAGAAGATACCCGAAACGAAGCTCATAATCCAGAACGTTCATTGAATACTGAATACTTTATGGAATAATTTGAATACAGAATACAATTGAATATTTGGAATATTTTATTGAATAATTCATTGTAGCATGTATATATTGTGTTCACTATTAATATAATTTTCCATTTTGTCCACCAATTTTAGCGTCTTAGATGCACAGCTTTTCCTATTGATTATCTAATATTGCTGTGTGATCTTTTTTGTTGTTTGGCATTCCCTGAGTGCTGCCAGGGGAAGAATACTTTTCTCAATGGGGAGGCAGAAGGGCTCAGGCTGTGATCACAAACTGTGAGGATCATTGTGGAGCACTGGCTAGAGGGTCATCCCGGGATCTAGGAGACCCAGCTTCAAATCCCAGTGCTGCCATGGCAGCTCACAGAGTGGTCCTGGACCAGTCACTCACCCTCTTGTGGCCTAACCTGCCTTATAGGGTTGCAGCTGTTAAGATACAGTGGAGGAGGGGATAACAATGTGTAAGCCTCTTTGGATCCCCATCAATGGTATGGGCTATTTGGGAAAGTCTGAACTGGAATCCCCCCCCCCCGATTCAAATTTAAATAAATTATTTAAATTTCTGAAATACTGATTTAAATTATTGTCATGAAATTTAAATAGCATTAGCAAAAGAAGGCAAATACACCATGTGCACACAAACCTGAGCCATGTACAAGCAGTGGGGTTTGCCCGTGCTTCATATCTGACGTTTAGCCCATCTTATACGATTGATTTGTTGAATACCAGCCCTGACAACTATTGATAGACTGTATTTACGTAATGTGTTTTCTGCCCCATAACACTTATGGGGAGGATCCTTTGAGTTAGAATGTGTTGTTTGTAATCTCCACCCCCATGTTTGAGGAAGGGGACATGGCTCAGTGGTGGAACATCTGCTTGGGATGCAGAAGGTCCTCTTCAATCCCCAGCATTTCCACCTAAAAGGATTGAGTAAGAGATGATGCAAAAGACCCCCGCCTAAGACTCCAGTGAACCACTGTCCATCTGAATACTGACCTTGATGGACCCAGTGGTCTGATTAGGTATAAGGCAGCTTCTGTGTTCGTGTTGTTTCCAAGATGACTTCTTTACTTTCTGCCACAGGTGAACAGCTGTTGTTTGCTCACTTCTCTGGGGAAAAGTAAAATGGAACCCGGGGTATGGTTTCAATGGCCACAGAATCCACCTGTCGTCACCAATGAAGTTTGCTAAATTTCATTGGGTGGAGAATTCTGCAAGAGGTTAGAATGGGTTTCTGCAAAAGTGCACACACAGGCAGTATTGCAGGAGTATGAAGGAGGATTTATGTTCTTTTGCCATGCGCCTCCACTGTGCGCTCCCCTGCGGCCCTAAGCCACATACAGAGCCTTCCTCCCTGCACGTAGCCTCATGTAACTGCAACAGGAACCTGGCCAGTTATTAATTTTTTTTTACCTTAAGCCAATTTCTGTATCAGGGTTAAGTAGATGGCAGTTATATATAACAGAGTTTTTATGTAGTCAGGGCAGAAAGAATCTGAGGTTAACTGCATTAATCCAAATGTTGCTGCCATGAAGCTATTTCTGGATGTTCTTTGCATCACTGTTGGTTTTTTATTTCATGGCCTTTTGTGCTTTTCCCCACATGTCGTTTGGCTTTTTTGAAAACAGGGTCAAAAAAATAGATGAAGATTCCTCTGTAGAAAGACTTCACTGGTGCATTGAAGGCCATACTGTACATTTTTCTCCCTGAACTGCTAGTTTTCTACAAGGAGGGATATTTTTATGTGGAAAAACTTCATAATCATGGGAGCCCCTACCTGTAGTCTGAATCATTATAGTTCTGATTCAGGTTAACCACCTTGGTGAGAACTAAGTCTAAGAGACTGAGTTATAAACTGGGAAGCTCCTGGTACAAATTTCACCCCTGCCTTGAACCTGCTGGTTGACAACAGGCATGCCTTCGTAGCTTTGTTCCCTCAGAAAATAGCTGACTGAAAGATTTCCATCAGTACAGTGTAACTTTTCCACCTTCCCACTCCTGCTGCAGTCCAAAAGGTTCACCAAACTGCTGCTGCTGGGAGACGGCCCCCCCCCACCAGGAACAGCATGAGGGGAGGGAGTTAGAACTGCTTTGGGAAGAGGAATCAGCAAAAATTGCCCTCTCCACATGCCTGAATCCATGGGTTCCAACCCATTAGACTTCTGCCACTGCCCCCTTGTGGGCGATCTCCGGCTTTTTTTTTTAACATTCACTTTATAGTGTTATAGCGCTATAATGGAATCGCATTATATCAATCCAATTGGAATGCATGAAGTGTTTTGTTATACTGCTATAGAGCTATATAACGTTAAAAAAAAAGCCGGAGATCGCCCACACGGGCGAAAAACGGTGGGGGAAAAGCGGGAAAAAGCGGTGCAGTCTGAAATGGCAAACTGCTTCAGATCCAGCTCTTTACTGGAAGGGGAAAGCCCTGTGTGAAATGGCAGCCCTGTACCGGTTCACTTTAAAACGGATCATTACCGGCTTGAAACCAGGTGAAACTGGGTAATGTGAAATTCCTCATCATCTTTCTATGCCCCCTCCCCCATATTATTGGGTGCTGCTAGTGGAGATTAGCCAACACTCAGCATGATGAAACTTGGAGATGGGGGAAGTACTTAAGGAGAGCCTTGTTTTGTCAGACCAAAGGCCCCTCTATTCCCACATCCTGTTTCTCACAGTGGCCAACTGGATGACTCCAGGAAATCCACAAGTAGGGCATGAGGACCGAAGTGGCCCCCTGCTGTTTCTACCACAGCCTCAAGAGCTCTTTCCTGGTCACCTGTTGCTATTTCAGACTCCCATCGGGGTCTCATTTGTTTGACTGGGGGGGCTCCTTTGTACTTCCGTTTACACTGAATTTCATCAGTCTTCATTTGCTGTGTTGTTGCTTGTTCAACCAATTGGGAAATATGGGGGGGGGGCCTCTTCGCAGTATGATTTGGCTTTCACCAGAATATTTGGTATTGTTGTATACGAGACTCAGGCAGCAGGTGAACAGTGATAACAGCTTTATTAACGAAGTCAGAAGAAATCAGAACGAGACAAAAACATACAGCGACAGGCTCTCTTTTAAACAGTCCGGGCTTGGGTAGCCACGCCCACATGTCAGCTAACAACCAATAACTATTTACAGATAAGGTCCAATCAGAGTGTTTCCCTCCAGCTCATTACACAGCTCTGATTGGTCTATTTACAATCCTTGGTTCAGACTCAAGCTTAACATAGATTTCCATACATAACAGGCGTCATCTGTAAGCTTGGCTGCTGCTTTATCTCCAAGTCCAGACCGTTTGTGAACACATTAAATAGTGCTGATCCCAATACCAATTCTTGTGGAACCCCACTGCCTACATCTCTCCATTGAGAGAACTGTCCATTTACTCCTACTTTTCACTTTCTGTTCTGTTACAAATCCACAAGAGGGACCTCTCCTTTTATCCCATGACTTCAGTGATTCCTCTGGAACTTTGGTGAGGGACTTTATCAAATGGCTTTAGGAATAGAATGTCCATTGTATCAATCCATGTATTAACATTCTCAAAAGCTGATGAGGGAAAGGCTTTACTTTACAAAAAGCATGGTGATCAGCAGATGCAGTGCCAGCAAAGATCTGCACAAAGCATTATCATACTGGCCATTTTATTTTCATTTCTTTTCCTTTCCCTGGTGAAGAATTTCAGGGCCTTTTAAAATTAAGGATTTATTTATTTTTTGGTTTAAAGGCTCAGATTTTATTTAAAATGTATGAAGCTGGTTTTTAAGTTTGTTGTTGCAGGGAAGGGGAGAGACACAGGATTTTAGGGCCTGGGTACTTAGCTTGCTCTGTCCCCTTACCTTTTTGCTGATGCTTTGATCCTGGGCCCGTGAGGATGCTTTTGCACAAGCTGCCACTCAGTATAGGCCTGTGGCAAACGCTCCCCAAATTCTGTTACAGCCAATTAGGGAAAAGAGAGCCCAGCGATACAAAAGGGTTTGTGACTCGGCTACAAAGGATTGCACAAGGCTACAATTAGGAGCGATTAGAGCAGGTGATTGAACATGAGTGGTGATTAAAAGGGATTGAACGTCACTTGGGCTTCTCCCCAGGGAGCAGAGCAGTGTGACCTCCTTTAAGCCTGGCTAAATCTACACTTTGCTAAAACCCACAATTTAACCCTTCTCACTATTAAAAAAAAAATACACCGGGGTGCTTAGCTCCCCCGCCCTCCCTCCCAAGACAAGCGTATGTCTAGATTTAGTTGATCAGGTTTAACTGCTACAGCAGAGCTGAATGTTGGTACAGAATTACCTCCTCACCAGTCAGCATTCAAATCCCTTGGTATGACTTAAAGTAATGTAAAAGTTATTTACATTTTCTTTGACCAGGTGCTTAAGAGCATAATCCTACACTGAGTTGCTTCAGTCTGAAGTTAACGGCCTTTGACTGGAGTAACTATGTACAGGATTGTGCTGTAAGTCACTCGGCTTCCTTACCCTTTTCTCCTTTATTCCCCCCCCCCCATTTATTTAGACTTTACCTGCTGCTTCTCCAGAGGCCTGCTCAAAGCAGCTCACGACTCAAACAATACGATAAAAGCAAACGAACTGTTAAAAACAAGCCAGAGCATTAAAACAAATGCTGCAAAACCTAATGTGATATAAAATGGTCCTCAATATAAAATGGTCCTCAGTCTAGAAGCAGGCCATATAGTACAGCTGAAAAGATGGAGCCTCAGCCTAGCAGCTGAAAGAGAGTAAGACAGGTGCCAGGTGAATGCCCTCATGGGGGAGGGCATTCCAAAGGTGTGCCACCACTGGGGGGGGGGACACTTGTCTCTGGTTACCACCTGCCTCACCTCTGGAGGTGAGAACATAGAGAGTAAGACTAGAGTGGAGGACCTTAACTGACATTAGCTTTCTGAAGTGGTTTTACTATACATTATGAAAAAGAAAGCAGATAACTCACCCCAGGGCTGCCACTTTCAGCAGAGGTCATTTCCTGCAGGAGCGCACAGGAGCGGAGCTCCGGCAGTAAAGAGCCCAGGGGGCGGGCACACGCAACAAGCCCCACCCCCTGCTCCCAGCAGCCCTCAGTCAGAGCAAGAAGCAGCCAGGTAAGTTGCAGAGCTCCCCCCGGTCCAAAATAGTCCAGTGGCACCTTTAAGACCCAGTTTTATTCAGGTACAAGCTCTCCCTCCTCTGCAGGGACAGATCTGCACGTTCCGCCCCCCCCCCCAATAGGTAGCAATCCAAAACAGTCCAGTGGAGCAGTGGGTGTTGCCTTCTGACACCCTTCCGGTGATGTCAGGGAGTGTGGCACATACAAATAAGTTATACTAATGAGTTATGCTAATGAGCTCCTGCACCTCTTTTTCTACGAAATGACCCCTGAGCAGAAGTCCTGCGTCTTGTAACATGTACTTCCTGATATAGACATACTTCATACCTTTCAGATATTTAACCTGCTTTACTGTGCTCCTTTCTCCTTTGTGAATAACATCTGATTACAGTTGCTGTGTTTCTCTCTTCTGCCTTTCAGTGCCACTGATCCACCTCCTCGAATCCGAATAATTAATGGATACATTACTGTGGAGCCCCAGCCACGGGGACACGGGCGTTCCAGTCACATCCAGACAGATACCAGCTTCTCCAGTGGTCTATTTCCGTCCCTCCACACTTTAGCATTGACTTTGGTGCTGCCTACGTTGATGATGCTGGTGCTGGAGTGTATCTTCTAAGCAGAACTTCACATTCCTTGGTGAAAGGATGCTGAGGGGAAAACGAGGACTTTTGTGAATGGGAGGTCATCTGTGGGAATTTTCTTTTTAAAAAAGGGCTCATCCTTTTCCTGAATCTGGACCATTAACATGATTAACTGGCTTGACCATGCCCAAGACAGGAGAAGATATTTTTAATGAAAGCCATTATTTATCCTTCTCTTGCAGAAGAATTATTTCATGTTATCCCATAATGCTTTTGGGAGATATATATGTAACATAGTTGCTGTTTTGTTTTTAGCTGTATGAAACTGACTTGAAGATGGTTTTGTTTGGGGGTTGGTTTGTGGTTTCTGCTTTTGTCTCTTTGAGCACCACTAAAGCTGTGGCGACTTGAGTTTGGAAAGAGCATTTTGGTTGCAATTGTACTGCCTGGAATACGGATGCAATCATGTTGTTGTTCCACGTCTTTTCTTCTGCTTCCTGCCACACTCCAATGGAAGAGTTACCTACCGCTCGCTGGCCTTCTTTCCCTGCTTTACCAGTAGCCCCACACAACCCAGAAATGTAGCCACTGAGGCATTTCCCATCTGTTTTTTTCAAGAAAAGCTTCACCTGTTAAATATTGTTGTATTAGGCTTCTGGTAAAGATGCAGGGCTGGAGGGGGAAAGAAACACTGGCCCTACCCCTCAAGGTTTGACAGCTCAAAATTTTCCTACTTTCTCCAGCTGGTTTACTGAAAGGTATTGACAACTGTTTGGAAGCCTTTTTGCAATAAAGTGCTGTTTTGTATTTTTATCATACTCAAAAAGGGTGGCTAGATCCTTGCCTGAAGATGGTGCCTGTGCCTTAAATGCTTTCAGACTGCTGTTGCCTCTCTTGATCTGCTCCTCTTCCGGGTCACTTGCCCGTTCTGCTTCCTTCTCCTTTGGTCTGTAGGGCCCCAGTCTTGCCCTGTTGCAGGTGAAGGAGGCGAACGGAAGGAGGGACAAGTGGTCATACTGGGGAAGCAGATGCTGTGAGTGTGTTCCTTTTCTACCCTTGGAGAATTAAGTCTTGGCAACTGTATCATTCAAACAGTGATGGTGGGCGGGTGGGATCCAGCTACTCTTTGCTTCTTATCTCCGACAGGTAATTTTTGTCCCAAACTGGTAAAACGAAATGAATTGGTAATTGCATAAAGGCCTCTGCTTGGCTGCTGTCCGAAATGAAAGGCTGGGATAGGTTGGACTTGGTCTGATCGGTTCTTACCTAGTACGAGAAACAATTAGCACAGAAGGCAGCTAGGATGACCAGACTGAAGAGTGCATAGGACTTATTACCGGTAAGAGTCAGGTAGGAGAAGGGATTTTAGTAGGTCCTGCTTTTCTCAACTTCTCCTGACCACCTGCACCTATCCGAATCCCTTCTTTCTAGGCAGGTGTGGAAAGTACAGGCTCCCTGTCCTCCTCGGTTGCTAGTCACTCTAAAGTTTTTACTGTAAAGGTATTACACCCCTTAGAGTACCATGTGCCAGTGTACTTTCAGGGGAACATGTGAATCCAAATAGTAAAATCTGTGTAGTTAACTCTTCTTACAAACAATCCGTTTTGGTGATATTACATAGCACAATATATTCTAGATTCCTGGGATTTATTTTAAGGCTTTTAAAAAAAAAGTTAGCTGCCAGCTAACTTAAACCAAATAAAGACACTTTCTGAGACTGCGCCTCCATCCAACCAAATTTTAGCTCCTCAGAACTGACATCCTTCAAATGCAAGGCTGCATCACTTTAAGCTGGTTTAGCAGTCCTTTCCCCCCAGTTGCAATGGAAACCAAAGGCAGTGAAGAAATTCCAAGAGAGAATTCTGTGTACACTTCCTGCAAATGATCATTTTTGAGATTCTTAAGGAGAAAAAACAGTGACCCTTTGCAGAACACGCAGGTTGGATCTGGGATCCCCACCCTGTGTCAGACATAATGCTATCACATGTGAATTGCAGGTTCTCTATTCCCACATGTGTGGTACCTTGTTAGGGTCAGGACCATGGCACACACGGAGAAGGGACTTCAGCCTTCCTGTCTGCACCATTTTGCCAACCAGAAACAGTCCCGGAGGTCACTGTTTGAAGTAAGCTACATGTTTTCCCCAACTGGCCCAATAGTGCCCCCTCGGGCTGTTTCATGTTGGGGAAATGGAGCCGGAAAGGAGACTAAAGCCCTTTCTCCACATGCACACTGCATGCTCAGAAATTGAGGCAAACCCACAAATCATGTGTGACTGCGTTACCTCTGACCCAGGGTGGGGACCCAGGCCCAACTTGTGCACTCTGCAATGCGTGAAGAAGTGGCTTACCTGTCTCCCCTGCATGTGCCCTCTGAATCCTCTTTCCTACGTCCCACTTTGTATTATCTCAACAAATGCAGATTTCACACTTGCTGGGATACTTTGCCATATGTCAACGGTTAGATGGTTTTGTAGGCCAGAATTATTACTGAATCTTGGTTACTTGTCTACATTAGCTGGGTGAAACTCAAAAGCATTGACCGGTTCACAGAGCTGTTTAGTAAGAGGCATCTGATAACCTGTTGAGGTATGAAACCACAGTGAGATCAACTAGGGATGCTTTTAATCACGTCTTAAAACTCCTGGATGTGTATTTTTGTCAGGGGATCCTGCTAGAAATACAAAAGCGGGACAAAAGAGGAGGCCCTTTCCACTGGATCACTAGCTCATGTGCCAGCCATCATAAGAACATAAGAAGAGCCCTTCTGGATCAGACCAGTGGTCCATCAAGTCCACCATCCTGTCTCACACAGTAGCTAACAGGTTCCTCTGGAGATCCAACAACAGGGTATAGAGGCCAAGGCTTTCCGCTGATGTTGCCTCCCAGCACTGGTATTCAGAGGTTTGCTGCCTCTGAATATGGAGGTTCCCCTCAGTCACCATGGCTAGTAGCCACTGGTACATGCCTCAACCGGCAGCCAGTCACTCTCAGGAAATGTGGGAGGTGGTTCTTCTGTTAGCTTGTCTTGACCAATTTGTATTTTATATTTCTTATGTTTGTCCCTTGGAGATTTACTCTGTTGCAAAGAAAGGCAGAATATAAATATAAGGGGTCTAAGAAATGCTTTCTGTGGATCAGCTTTTTTTGGTGCAAAAGTGCGTTTGTTGGGCTTGTGTCTCAGTACATAGTGTGTGAGAGAGTGTGTCACGCACGTGGCTTTGTTTATCAGATGGGAAGTTCTGGATTAAAATATCACTTTTTTCTACATGCCCTATCACGAACCATGATGCTCTGGGTCTCAGCCTCTGCCGGGTGCAGTCTGCAGTCCATAAATCATCCTACTGGCCTGCTTTACAAGGGTATTGAAAAAGTTGTTGCAATGTATGTGAAAAATTCAGAAGAACTGAAATGGACTACATGAATGCCAAGTACTGTTATCACTGGTTATCTCCACAGACCAAGTTACGATATGCATGCATATCGGCTATGAAAGGTGCAAATGTGTATTGCTCGCTATTATGCCCTTTGAAATAAACATAAGCAGGCATTCATAATGTACTTGTGTATATATTTAAGGAACAAAAGATATATATGGGTCCTTCTCAATTGACATGGGCACCTCGCATTTTGTACTTTGTGATCTATAATTGAGTAACACAACAAACTAGAAACCTTCCTGGGGGTAGGCCAAGGCAATTGACAGATAATTGTCTCTAAGAAGACTCTGGCCAGGGCCGGTTCATCATAGACAATTTTTAGGCAGCGGCCTAGAGTGGCCCCTTAAGAGGGGACACCCCCTGGCCTGCTGCCCCGCCCCTCCCTCACCTAAACAGGGTAGTAAATCATGGGCCGCCGCCCACCTTTCCGGGAGGGCGACCTGTTTGCCCAAGGGGAGCTGAAGGCACTGTGGGGAGCAGCCTGGAGCCGGCCCTGCCTCTGGCCGGCGGTGGGGGCGTTTCGCTTCACAATCGCAGTCCGCCCTCTCACCCCTATGCCTCTGGCCAGCCGGCAGGGGGGGACTCCTGGTGTGCCTGCCTTCGCCGCCTTATTCCACTGGTCGGTGGGACCCAGGGTGCCTGCGCTCTGCCCGCCACTGCCGCCCTGGGCTCTACCTGCACCGCCTCCCTCCACCTGCCGAGCCGGCCCTAACGCCCTGCCCCTCCAGGGCTCCGCTGGAGCCAGTCCCGCTGGCCAGTCTCCAAGCAGGGCCCCGAGCCAGGCCAGGCAGAATCGCCGGAACAACCCCGGCCAGCAGGAATGGGGACGGGGGTGGTGAAGGCCGGGTTGGGCACATGCAACAGGCGCTGGCGACTCCTCGCGGCCAAGGAGCAGCTTTCCAGAACAGAGGGCTTAGGGTTGCCAGCCTGCAGGTGGGACCTGGAGACACCCCCCCGGCATTACAGAGATCTGGTCCCCTTGAGGAAAGGCATGCATTGGACTCGACTGAGCTGCCTCCTCCCCAAACTCTGCCTTCGCCAGACTCCCCTCCCCCCCAGTCCCCAGGAATTTTCTAACTCAGAGTTGGCAACCCTGTTTAGATCCAGACACTGGAGGAAGCCAGGAACTCCTGGCTTTGTTAATGGCCCTGTTATTGATTCATTGGTGTTTTTATGTTTATTGATTATATTGCTGTGCTAATTGTTACTGTAGAACCAGATAAGGAGCAAAGACACTGGGATTGTCGGCTTTCGAACCCCTAAAAGTCAGAGCACAAAAGCACATCTTAAAAGCCATTGAAACCAGAATAAAACCATATTGTTTAAAAATGTAAACCAATTTAAAATTAGCAATTTCGAATTTTGTGTTTTTCATTCTTCCTAAAATGCATTTATGTTTGAAAATTGGGGGGCGCATGGGGGGGGGGAGGGCGCCAGAAGGTTGCCTCGCCTAGTGTGCAAAAAAACCTGGAGCCGGCCTTGACTCTGGCCTTTTTTAATTGTGGATTTTCTACTACAGAAATGGTATGTCACTGGAATGGTTTGATGGCCATTTCCTTGAAGCCAGATCCAACTGCTCCAATCATGTTCAAGCGCTTAAAGAAAAGCACAAGGGACAGACGTAAGAAGATCTGCTGCTGGTCACTAGAGAAGTCCTGCTCAGCTATATCATTTCACATGACCCTCCTGTCCCCCTGATTTGCTTCTCAGATGTTACCAGAGCAGTGTGAGG